TAATAATCCGAGCAGTTCCAATAGGGTCTTCGCACCCTTTTGGGTGCTCGGACCCTAATAAACTTTATTTATATAGCACTTTTCAGAACAGGGTTACAAAGTGCTGTAAACTGTATTTTACAGTGTGACAATGCAAAATCCTGTATCATGATTTGAGGATATGTCCTGGGAGACAAGCAGGTCCCTGCCCTGCATTAAAGATTCAACTAGTAGATGTTAAATATCACTTGTGGGCATTATTCTGTGTGACTTCTCAAACCTTAATAAAGCATACCATTGAGTTTTGCATGTTTTAATGTATTCAAATCACACACTACACTGACGCGTTTCGCATCAGGATGTTTTCTTCTATGATTCCGGTCAGCTGGTGGTTCCCATTCATTTCAGTATGACGTGGAAGTCTATTGATAGACCCTACAAACTGAATTGAGCTGTGCAATCCTTCACAGTAAATGCCACCTGCATGACTTTTTAAATGCTGTCATTTGCAAATTTAATGTCATTACAGATGGATTTTAGAAGTCTGTACCTCTTTACTCTGCAAATATGACAAAGGTAACAAACAAAAATGAATGTAGACTTGATATTTGTCATGACTGATTTGGTAACTTACACAACTTCAAAGAATCTGGTGTTTTATTTTCATGGAATATGGAAGCAAAAGTTAACCAGTGGCATCTGGAAAACTGAAGGTATACAATCTGAGTGTCATAAACATGTAACGTGTACATGATTGATACAGTCAGCTAGATAAACTTCATCTACCACAAAATGGGTATTTCTTTTTGGTATTTCGTTTTATTTCTTGTGTTGCAAACTAGGTGTTTAGGTGTTAAGACTTGAAAAAACACCATATTTTTTTGATCAAAGACTGATGTACAGCTACAACTACCTCAGTGTTTTTTTCACTATTTGTCTAGCTAGTGCCCTCAAATCACTATTGATCAGAACGTCTATCTTACACGTCTTTGTTTTTCTAACAGCGGTCAAAGGTCAGTGGGCCTTATCCACATCATGGCTTTATGTGCGAGCGACGAGATGATTCATAAAACGTTTATCATAACTGCACCGTGGCTAATCACACCAAATCCAGTGTTGATCTCTTGGCTCTATAGAGGAGGTTCTTTTTTTTTTCTGTTTCAACAATAATCTGCAGGAAGGTTTTCGTCATTCAAAGGAGGGAAACACCGGAGTCAAGTGAGAGTGGTGAGGTCGAGAGAAAGAAAGAGGAAAGAAGGATGAGACGGATATTACCAGTTACCAAAAGTACCCAAAAATATCACCAGGCTTGCCCTCATTTGAATACAGGCGCATTTGCTGCATGTTTCACTTCCTCGTGCTGTTCACTGATCTGAAAACACACACTCTGGTGAATGATGTCAAACCTGAAAGCTACAGCAGGCTTCTGACCAGCTGCAGTGAAGCAAGGCAATAATAGCTTGGTGTCATCCTGTGAAAACGACACACACCTGGACATGAAAGCAGCGGCGGTTCTGCACAGGGGGCCTACAGGAGCCAGTGCCCCTGCTGGCCCCTGAGTAATAAGCTGACTGAGTAAGAAGCTCACTTTGTAATGATGACATGAGCCAGCACCAAAACGAATGTGGCTCTATGCTCTCAGCCCCCACAGTGATGGATTTTTAAAGGACAGCACTGTGTTTTCATTGAAAAACGCAACCATTGATGAACTCCATCAATTTAAGAGAATTTTGGAACGAAAATACAGATTGGTGAGATACAGAAGCCACGTGGAGCTGATCTGTTTCACTGAGCCATACTGAGAAGTTTTTTTTGAACACTTTCGACTGAGCAACATTGCCATCCCTCTTCCAGTAAGCTCGGCCTCCTGGGAACGCAGTGTCTCCATTCTGAAACCAATCAAAACACTCCTGCGCTCCACCAGCTCTGATGAGCGACTCAGTGATCTCAGTGATCCAGAAGATCTTAACATATTTCAGGACCAGTTTGCCCGACAGCACAACCACCGTATCCTGCTGCTGTAGTGATAGATTGATAGACTGATCTGTCCTAAACATGACAGCCATCATGTTGAGTCTGACAGCTCAGTATTTAAAGGCTACAATGGATGCTACTGAAGCAGCAGGGTTTTAATATAAAGTAAAGTTTTTAGTGCTTAAATATCATTAATGTGCTCCCCCAGTAAAATGTGTCTGGATGTATGACAGTGTGCTGTTTTGCTGTGATGAAGCCAAATAACATCTTTGATTTAACGCCATCCTGTGTCTCACCTTTATTTTCTAACCTTTGCCTGACCTGTATGAGCCCTCACACCTCACATTAAAGCTTCCATCGCAAGTACAGACCTACATGAACAGCTAAAACAAATGTAATGTCTTCAGTACAACCTCTTTGTTATTTCCCTGCAGACTACCTGAGAATTTTCCCTTTCTACTTCCAGCCTTACCAGTGATAACGTAGTGGATCCGCCGACCACTGGCAAAAACGTTACTTCTACTAATGTGGGACTTTTGTGGGTTTTTTTCTTCCAACGGAACACTGCTGATAAATAAAGAACGGAGGCAGAGGCGGTGCTAAACCCGCAGCCTGCTGAAGGGAAGCTGCGACTCGTCCGAGGTTCTCCTTCCGCCGTCTGAGTGTGCTGAGAGCAGTCTGATATCGCTGGGAGGGTAAGCTTTTGTTCCTTTTACGCACCGAATAAATGTGTTTCGCCGATTTGTACGAGTGAGCTTTGGGAAATATAGTAAAGTAGCCACGCGTCGACGTGCGTGTGGAGGTGTGAAGCGCTGTTAGCTGCGTAGACGTGGCTCCGGTAGCGGTGTGTCGGCGGTCCTTTGTGTCCTCCATTGCTCTATGACAGATCTGCGGCGGAGGAAACGACAGCAGCTGCGGCGGCTAGCTAGCTAGCTAGCTACAAGTTCACCGGTTTAAACCTCACAGCTGGCGGACTGTTAACGTTGAGCCACCGGGGATATATCAGCACGAAGTCTTTTGTTTCATTTTGTAGTGATATTAAGTTTCCGCAGCTGTGTGCGGTCTTGAGCGGCATCATCCGGCTTGCGGTTAGCTTAACACAAGCTGTTCAGTTCTGCTGCTGCTAGCGGCGCTGTAAGCTAGCTGAGCGCCGTTATGAACATGGAGACGCTAGCCTGCCTTGTCAAGTTGATTTGAACACCTGGTGCCGACATTTCCCGAACACCGGACCGGTACACAAGGTCTTTACATTTCACGTTGACCCGTTTGTATTTTACCAAACGAAAAAAAAAAAGAGAGGTTGTCCAGCGGCAATGTAAGAATAACGCCGCTATTGATAAGAGAAGTCGTTGTTAGTGATGAATCATATTTAAAGCTGCTTTTCCAGCAGAGAAATAAGATTGGAAGAAACATAACGCGTTTAAATAATGAAATGAGGACTTTACGGTGTTATTTATGGTGTGAATTTACCTCAATTAATATTAATTAAAAACCTACAAAAAGAAAAAAAAATCCAACTTTACCTGTCAGTAGTAGATATTAAGACTAAGACCCTACAGTATGAATAATTATGAATTCAGAAGTAAAGATGTGATCCTATTAAAATATAAATAAAAAAATAGTGAATCCCTGGATCTCCTATGCATTGCGTTTTGAATATAGATTTTATTATATTTTTTCGGAATATATTGTGTAAAGGAAGCTAATACTGTTAATAAGAGCTTCTTGATAATTATTTTTTAATTATTTAGTTTTATGATGTGCTGGCTACAGGAGGTAAAGAGCCGCCTTAATTGTTTTAAAGCTTGTTCACTGAATGATTTAATAGATTAGTCAAACAATAAGCTCATGAGCAAGTCTGAAAAACAATGAACCAAATGCCACCTTAATGTGAAGGTGCTGCCCTGAGCTGTACACGTCATTCTGGGTTTTCCTCACTCGTTTCTGTGTCCTGTAGACCAGACTGAACGTTTTGAAAGTCATTTGCAGATGTAGTTGTTTACCTCATCAAACCATATCAGTAGTTTCAGTGCCTTGATTGTCCACAAGCTCATTTTAAAGGGAATCTTTTTTTCTTATCCCCTGGTAGAAAATGTCCTGTGGGCTATGGAAAGAGACCTTGGTTGTGGCAGAGGACTACCTGTCCCTGTGCTGCACAAGCCCACATTCAGCCCCTCCACCTCCCAGCGAGTCAGCCGCTGCCATGAGGTGCCTGGCCCAGGACATGGAGAAGCAGCACCAGGCTCGCTTCCACTCCCTCACTCAGACCTTCCTGAGGCAGCCCGGGCCGGACCTCTGCTCCAGCCTCAGGAGGGTGATGGAGGAGCTGGTGGGAGATGGACACTTGAACTGGGGGAGGGTTGTTTCCCTTTTCACCTTTACTGGGGTGCTGGCCAGACAGCTGCAGGAGCAGAGGGACACGAAGCCGGGGCTGGAACCCGGGAAGCGGCAGGAACTGGGACAGGGGCCCGTAAACTGCAGGGGACTGGCAGAGACCATAGCTGATTACCTGGGAGAGGAGAAGAAAGACTGGCTGTTGGAGAACGATGGATGGGTAGGTCCTGACAACATGTCAACACTCAAACTGTAGATAAGACGAGTATTGTGGTTGTATCTGGAGCGGTGAGTTAGTGTAAAACTGAAAGCTAAATGTGAAAGTAGTGCTTTTTGAAAATCGGCCATTGGAAACCACCTAGTTTAATGAGATCTTGTGTTTTGCGGGTGTTTATTTTCAGATCTATGATTTGAAATATGGCTAAGTCATGTCCTTTAGATGTCGCCTTTTCTTTTTTTTAAACTTAGTTTGCTATCCAGATCAGCTGCTATGAGCATGTGTATTGTAGCGTAGCTATAGGCAAGATTCAGATGAATGTATGCTATAACAATAAGACCTTAACAGTGGAAAATCCTGGCCATGATCAAACAATGCTGGGCATTAGAATATCCAGAGTTTTTTTTAATTAGTTGCATAAAAATTGTCAAGTTGTGCTGAATTCTAGGTTTATCCAGCAACTGGAAATCAAAAGAACTATAGTTTCAAACCTGCTTGATGTTACTTATGCCCTGAAAAAACTAGATGTACTTTGGGTTGACTGAAGTCTCAGAAGCCTTAACAAACTGAAGACATCAGTTGAATGTCTGCTTTTATGAATGGGCTTGCCCAACACCCACATAAACACACACACACAGACAAGCCCCTCCTTTCTTCAGCTGGCAGCTGGTTTCAACAGACACGTAACCAGCTCAGCCAGATGGACTTTGTAGTAACAGTCAAAGCTTCAGTATGTTGAATTTGGCATCAGCCGTATTGAAAGTTAGTGTGGTATGACTACAAAAACAAGCAGCTGCAAAGCAGTGAGAACACCTGGAGCTGAGAGCAGGTGCACGCACTGGTCCAGTGTGTGGCTTCAGTCTGAAAACATGAGGGAGAAATACAGCAGAGTGTTTTAACAGCACCGGACTTGTTTTTAATAGTGGCACTAATGGAACAGAAGAAGCTAAAAAGAATGATTAATATGATCAAACTGAATACAAACGTGACATTTTCCATCATTTTCAGGTTGACACTTTGAGGTTATTGTGTGTTTGTGCTTTCAGCGTATTTTGAGAGTTGCTGATATCAGCGTTGGCCTCAGAGTGCAAATGTTTTCTCATTTCTGTGAGGAAACCAGGACTGTCAGTGACTCTGACATATTTTGCAAAATATATTGTATAATTGCCACCAGCTGTCAGCTTAGCTCTTTGTCATTGTAGCAGCTACTGTGCATTCCTTTACTAACGCTGAGGAAAAACTGGAAGTAGCAGATATCTGTTCCCTCTTGCCAGTATCCTCTGTACTTAACAGTTTTTGTCTTTCTCCCTCCTATAGGAAGGCTTCGTTAAGTTCTCCCTCAGTGCCAGAGAGGTGAGTCAGGACTTGTCCATGAAGACAGCGCTGTTTGCTGCTGCTGGTGTCGGCCTCGCTGGACTCACCTTCCTCCTGGTGCGCTAGCCAGCCTTCTGCATCCGTACCACGTCCTCACCCATGTTCTCAATTTGTTTGGCACAATTACGTAGACATTTGAATTCTAACAGTAATTCTCCAAAACAGGCTCAATCTGTAGTGAATTCAGGGTTCATGTCATTGAATGTTTGCACATACTGGGACCCCACACACACACACACACACATGTACACACATTAATACTGACATTCTGTCACTTGCTCCTTAAGATTGTAAAAACAATTTCAATGCCTTCAGAAATTTTGGAGTTGGTGACATCAGTTTGCATATCTTAGGTTAATTACTAAAGCACAGGCTTCTGCACAGAATCACCTTGCGTTCAAAGTTTGTATCGTCAGCTGTGCAGCTCAAAGACATTTCAGTTTCCCCACAGATCTTTTTGTTTTTCATTTTAAAATGATCAGCTGCCTTTTATTTCACTTGTTTACCTGAGTTGTGTATGTGGTATAGAGACGACAATTCTAGTGTACAATGTATAAATTAATATATTATATTTATATAAAACAAAAGCGTGAGCAGTGGCCCTTTTCTATCCGATCCACAGCTAATTTAGTTGTTTTCAAGTTTGTCCTACATTCATGTGAAATGTCTGTGATTTACAAGGTCAGCTGAGCTGTATGGTACAGCCGTGATGGCCACACAACGGTGCTATATGTTTTGAAACGTTTCTTGTATCAATCTACCAAACCAGGGACCAATCTGATTTCAGACATATTGCTATTAGAACAAACCGTTGCTATAACGCCCCCCTCCCAAATCTCAAACATTATATTTTTACATTGTTTTGTTTTATTTATTTGTCACTGTTTTTGTAATAAAAGAAAACAATCGAGGACTTTGTGATTCTTGTGATTGCGATGAAGTGTGGGCGACTGGTTGCGGTGATGGCAGGTTTTTATAGCTGTTTTTTTTTTTTGTTTTTTGCTCTGAAGGTCTGAAGCAGGTCATGAGTGTTGCTGTGGAAATTGAATTGTAAATGAGTCTCCCTTGACGTGCAGACACATTGTCATAAATAAGATATGCTGTTCTGTCTCTCCTGTGCTCCTCCTCTGGACATCACAGTGCACAAAGCTGAAGTAGGAACTGCCATCATAAGGGATGTGTCAGGCCTAAGGTTAATAAAAGGCAGTAGTTAACAAAGCATTTTTGGTCTTTGTTAATGAGTCAGAGAGAAGTTAGTCAGGCCAGAAGTCACCGCAGTCAGTCAAATGGTGCAGATGATGTTAATCAAAAAAAGGAATCCAATCACAGATAAGCATGAAGCACCTCAGCTGTCTGACACCCCTCACACTGACAACGCTTAAATGACCAATAATCAACAAATAAAATTCAACATTAAAGTTAATTTCATCGCCACACACTGCTTGTAATATATGCACTAAATCGAAATTAGATTTTTCATCTTCACATTTACAAGATGTCAAATTTATAAACCCTGAATTTAAAATGTTACCATAACAACAGGCTTTAAAATTGACGAAGTGATATGTACTTCAGAGATGTTCCGGGTTCATCTGTTGCCACCCAGCGATTAAAACCGCTCAGCTGGGTTATCGCGGCGTTGCTGTGCTACTGTAGAAACGTCGCCTTTATTCCGTTGAATGAGGAAGGAAACGATTTATCAGCATTATTTGCTTGATCTGTTCGCACAACTTGGGCAGCACAGTAGCTACAGAAACACACCCAGCATCACCAGCACATGACTCATCTGACAGATGAATCAGAACAGATAGGAGCACCTGTCAAGCGGCTCGCAATCATAATGCACACTTGTAGAAAGAACTTTAAATATGCTGAATGGACGACAATATAGACAAATTAACATTTCATTAATTTTGCCTAATAAGGTGTGGCAAACAGTACCGTTAAGTATTGTACTTAAATCTTCAATTAACTATTCAACCCTTTGCATTAATACAGAAGACCACATCTGGCACATTGTCATATAGACCTGGAAATAATCAGGAAGTTTCAGGACTGCATATCGCATAGACATAAATATTTAAACTTAATGAAATGTTTCAGATGCTGCACTACTTCTAGATCAGCAGTGAAGCAGATAAGTGGCACTGTACATGTTAACTCCTTTGCATAAAAGCTCACATTTACTTGAGTTGTAATCGTTCCATCGAAGCAGCGCTCGGATCACACTCAGCTTTATTGTACCTCTCGTCATTGTTCACGCGTTAGAATCATAGCTGTACCTCACACTTCCAGCAGAACAGTCCTCACTGCACCGTGATCGTGGGAAACACGGCACCAGAACAGAGTGCAAGCGTCAGATGTGAGACTGCTACTCTTAAAAACAGAGGCTTTCTCAAATCATGTCTAGACTGGTGGCTTCTGAGGAGGCAGACCAAGGCACTCTGAAACTGAAGACTAAAAGTGAGCCCACCATCAATGGACCGCTACACCAAACTTTGTAGACCGAGAGAGAGAAAAACAATTTCATCACAAATGCAGACTGTGCTTAATATGTTACTTAAGACTAGTGATGCACGATATTCAAATTTCTGGCCGATACCAATATTGAGATTTCTGATATTGCGATAACCGATATTACCGATATATTAGTCGACATTCAATTTTTGTTCACACCGAAAAATGAGTATAAGTAAGCACTGTGAGAACTTGAAAACTATTCAAAACAAGCCCATACCACATTAGACCACACAATCTTCTTTATTACGTAACAAAAGTAAAATATATTTAAACATATTTTAACATATTTAATGTTCAAGTCCAGGAACATTTAAGTAAAAACATCTGTGAAATAGCAGCAATATCAAATGTAGAGATGAAGGTGCTGATGTTAGACAATCAATAGTTTTTCACATCGGCTAAATTTGTTCATTGGACCGATAACAATTTATGGGAAACCGATACCGATACCGATGTGGTCGCCGATATATCGTACAGAGACATGATCCACCTTGCGGTGTACATTTTTGTGGAAAAGGATTCACACTGCAGCAAGGTGAGGAGCCCAAACACACCTCAAAGCTTTGAGACCAACGAGTGCTGACTGTCATGGACTTTCCTCTGCAGTCACCTGACCTCAAATCCACTGAACAGTTACGGAGACGCTCGAAGACTGACAAAGCCAAACATTCCAGACATGACAAGACGCTCTTTGAACATCGCCAGGTCATGCCGGGACAACGTTATTTAGTATCAGGTTCTGCTGCTATTAAAGTTAAAAACATGGCAAACTAATACTAAGATATTCATTGTATTATACTGTAATGAAATGATGATGTTGTGTCTCTACTCTCTGCACCTCTTTCACCTACAGAGGCTGCAGTTCAGAAGAAAAGGCTGTATTTATGAGCAACAGTTGCTTGAAAGCTCAAGATTTTTCCAGGGGAAAAACATGATCAGCCAACATATGACCCACAGTTCCTTTCTGAAGAAACCAGAAGTGCGTAGTTAATACTTGTGTTACAAGCTGCAATGTTTAAACCAGTAAAAAGATTGTCAAAAATGTGTCCCAGCCGTGGCTCTGGTGACATTCCTGTCATTTATTTAATCTTTCAGACAACCAGGAATACATTTTTACTAAAGACACATAAATGATAAGGTTTTATCAGATTTTTTAAAGCAGTATTTTACAGATTGGAACTGCCCGGGAGCATCATAGAAAACAAAGAAAATCAGATAACCAATAGACACTGACAGAAGAGATTAACTCGTCCATTACAAACGAGGCGAGTGAGCGCTGAAGGAGCCATGATGCACTGTGAGGCCCTGAAACGGATCATTTCCCACAAGACTAGTTTCAGTCTTTCCACACACGCCGTTCACACACGTCTCCTACGCGTTTCTCCATTACGGTTACAACACACCGTGTCGTCAGGCTGTTTGTGAAATAGAGAACCATGACTGCTTCTGATGTGGCTTTCTGTTTCCTGTTGATAGTGTTTCAGTCTAGCGGTGAGTCCCTCAAAAAGAGCATCGCAAACAGCTGTCAGATCTCTTGTTGTTATCGTTATCTGTTTATTTTATGGATTATACGGTATAGCGATTATGTGGACTGCGGCTGTAATTTGTCTGCTTTTCATTGTTTCGGTGCATAAGCTGATTGATGTCTGCCCTCTTAAAGGATGCATCTTCTAAGTTTCATCGTCAACAAATCACGAGTTAAGACCAAAACCGAAACTGAACCAACGCTATTCATTAGTATTTCACTGCACATCGAAGCCTGAGAGCATCAATACCTTTAATTGTAAAAAAAAAAAAAAAAAACTGTGGTGATGTTATTAAAAAATCTTGAGTAAACCCCACCTGCACCGCCTTAGAAACATCCTCAAAAAACCACAGAGTCCAGCTGTTGAGTTATTTATCTACAAATGATTCAAACAAGTCATATATGAAACTAAGATTTACATCTATAGAGAGAATCAACAAGCACAAGTGTCACAGATGGGCTTGGTGACGACAAAAAGTACCGAGAGTCGTATTATTTTTCATGGGATTTGTTGACAATAATAAAACGATAGCCTCAGGACTCTCAGCAGCTGCTGATCAGGGATCAGTTTGGCTGAGGGGGGGAGCCTTTCATTTCCAGATGGGGTTTTACACCAGACATGCAGCTTACGCCCCAGTCAATCTGGCGTTTCTAGGACACCCATTCAAGGGTTAATGAGACATGCGTTGGACTCGCTGACCTCTCTGAGAGGCAGCGTTACAGTCCACACATCAGAGGTCAGCACTTCACACAATGGAAATGAGAAAACAAATGAGTGGAAAAAATCTTGCAATCTTGCAAGAAGTGGAGGTGGAAAGTAAAAAAAATAAAAATAAATCACCCTGCACAACTTAGACGTATCTGTACTTTTAATGTAATACTTCATTTAGAATTGGTTCATCATCTCATGAGATCCATTTTTTTTGGGTATATCAAGCTACTCATAAAAATCCTCTAAAATATTTTGAACAGGAAGCTGTGTATTTCCATCCTGTCAGCACTGTCAGATATGACTTTATCTGGTGGAACAGCTCATGAAGTCTGTCCTTTGTGATACTGTCGCTGCGGACGATCTTATCTCGAGTCATTTGACTACAGATCAGCCTGAGTAGCTTCTTTTCCTCAACAACTGTGGTGTAAAAATCACATCCGCAATTAATCGGTGATATTTTATTGCATTTGTGGAAAAAGAGGTTACAGAATGAGTAACGGTATAACAACACAGCAACATGTTCCAAATTAAATTAAGATGCATTTGCCACTGATTTGAAATTTGCACCCCTTTCTAAAATGCCAGAACGATAACAAATGGCAGCACATACACAAAACTAAGCTCTTTACTACAAAACACCATCCACACAACAGTCCCATGTAGACTATATGTTAGCAATTAGCAGAACGGATATGAATGTAAAACTTGATATATGTGAACAAAAGGGTTCAGTTTCAGGTTAAGTTTCTTTGAGAGCACTGAGATGCTTCATATTTTTTATTTCCAAATATAAGGGCTTTAGTAGAAGGCAACTGGATTACTGCTTTCATTTTCATTTTATTAAGAAGTTTCTTCACTTCTAACTGACTGATGGGGTCAGATATTTATAGTAACAACCAAACATGGCTCCAGGTGTGGCTGGTTGTGAAACCCTATTAACGGTGGCGAAACTGTCTGGGGAAGGACCTCAAGACTGCATCCTAAGTAGCTGATTAGTGGCGTCGATTTATCTTGTAGGTGTCCCCGCTTACACTTAAGCACTTGCAATGACTTACAATCCACACACACACGATTTAAAGAAAATCTACAGTACATATTGTGTCCACAACCCCACACCAAAAAACAGTTTGACATTTTGGAAATACTCTTATTCACTTTCTTGTCGAGTCTGATGAGAAGTTCGATACCACTTTAACGTCTGTACCATACATATGAGGCTATAGCTAGCAGCCAGTTAGCATGTCTTAGCATAAAGACTGGAAACAGCTAGTAGCTAGCTTATCTCTGTCCGTATTATATTAAAATTTGCAATTTGTCATTTTTCACACTTCACAAAGGTTTTTTATGCATAGAAACTTAACATGTTATTCAGGAGTGAGGCTAGCTGTTTCTCCCTTTTTCTAGCGGCTGTGCTAAGCTAAGCTAACAGTTGCTAGTAGTAAGGTTTTATTCACAGTATTTACATGAGAGTGGTACGTACAAATCTTCTCATTCTGCCTACTTTTGGCAAGAAAGCAAATATATGTATTTCCAAAACAATCATTTGAAATCTGTAACAGAAACCGTTTGTAGTTACTTGAACAGAGAGAATCAAATTATACAATATACGAGGCTTGATAAAGACTTTCGTTTCCCCATTTCCAGTAAATGCAGAGACGTTTTTCTTATCCATGCCAGACAGACATGATGCGAGCACATCTTCAGGCCCCGGTCAGATGAAAAGCTTCTAGACTTGCATCGTGCACACACCCTTATTGGTTTTTAAGCGTGTACATTCATAAACAGAAGTGCAGATCAGTGCCAGATTCCTCCGAGTTGCTCTAATCAACCTGTCGTCTGTGTCTGTATTCACAGTGAAGACGGTCTGCGGTCTGATCTTTCTTTCCTTGTCACACGGAGAGGCTTTAATGACCTACAATTAAAATGTTATTAAATGTCCTAATGTTGAATTATAAATTGAGGTTTGTATTTTTAAAAAGTGGGTGTAGGAGATCACAAAACCCAACCATTGTTCTGTCAGTGTGAATACAGCTCTTGTTGATGCTCCATCTCCTAAACTTGAGAGCATTTGTTTTTACGATTCACCGGCTTTGAGGTTTTCTCCGATTTTCCTCCGCCGACCATCTCCCTCACCCTCGCCACCACCTGTGGAACACAAAGACATTCAGTTGTGGGGTACAGTGTACCGTTTTCATGTGTTTGTTTTGTCAATTCGTTAGCGCCTCCCATTAAGTCAGCAGCGGTGAGACATCCTGGTACTTCCCATGCATGCTTGCACTTGAGTGACAGCCAAGCCACAATGATGTTGCAAAGTATGATTCCAAAACAGAAACTTAATTAACTCTAAGAATGTGGGTGTAGATCCTGAACCAAAAGGCAAACCACATGATCTGGTGTTCAACAAGATGTAAAACGCAGTTTAACGCTCAAAAGTGGTGTTTTCATAAGGAAACCAGCCATCAACTGATCCATCCATCCATATCTATTCCTTTGTATCTAATGTATTTGATTTGTTTATTTGACGTGGCCATCACAATTACATTGGACAAACCAGATGCATTGACACACTCACCTGGGTGGCATCAGGAAACTGTTGCGTCTTGAGCCTGGAGAAGACCAGCTGGTCATTCACCGTCACCTCAAAACTGTCTGTGAAAAGAAAAAGACATTAGAACAGTATAGGACAAGATTCATGATGTGTAATCACCAACATGTGTGCACTCTAACCAGTTAAACAGGTATATTTGGTAGAGTTGGCACAGTGCTGGACTGGCACTGACAAAAACGGGTTTTTGGCAATTGACGAACACAAAACTGTTTCACTTTTGTTTGTTTTTTTTGACACTGCTTGATAATACCAGAACTGTCCGGGGGGCTTGTATATAACAGGCAGACTGTTGATTGTTGCCAGGATTTTTAAAAATGTTTTTGAAAGAGAGACGCAAAGAAATAGAGCTGGAACTTAAATTTATTTTAAATTGATGGAGAGATGTTGATTCAGTACTTACTACACACACACAAGTATTTAAAGCCCCTCTTTGGTAAATGATGGAACCCCTACAAGCTCATCTGTGTGTGTCAAAGCTAAATATTTTAGTTTTCCCCATAAAAACAATCCCTTTTTCATGCAAACAGCTTGAATTCTACACCATTGCTTGATCTGACCATGAAATCTTTGCCTTTCTTTCCTCGCAGCCCTCTCTACTCGCTGCAGTTCGAGCACACCAGCTCACCAACAACTCTGTCAAACTGCTCAGTGGAGAGTTTGAATATTACAGTAATTCAGCCAGGCATGTTTGAACCAGAAACTGTTCCTGAATAAGAATGTTGGTACAGAAAGCCAACAGAATTTCTTATTTGTTACATATGAAACCCTGAAGTCTGAATTTGTGTTTTTGAGACTATCGTTGCTGTGCTGCATGACGCTGTTTTGTTTTCTTAATGACGTCCAGCATGTACAGAAGAAGAAGAAAAAACACCAGTGGAGTTTTAACATAGTAAAAAAAAAAGAAGAAGAAGTGGTTTTTACCAGAAGGGCCTCACATTTATTTTTAGAAGACTGTATATGAGAAGGACAAAGCAGCTTACCTGGTCTCCCCACGACTCCGTTCACCCTCACACCAGGAACCTGCCTGATGGCACCGGCCAGTTCCTGGTAGCGGTATGCGTAACTTCATCCTTTACTGTGACATGAACCAACAAGGAAAATGATCTTATGAGGAACAAAATCACTTCTAAGCAACATTTATATGATGAATTCAATTATGTACCTGGTAACATATGGAACATAAAAAAAAGAATTACAGGAAATTTGTCGATGCTAATTGCAACAAATGTTTATCGCAGTCTGTAAAGTGAATTATCAGAGGAGGAAATTAAAAACTCACCAGTATTCTATGGTGACAGTAGCCATGGTTTTGCAGCTTGTTTATGAGCCTGTAGTAGACTTCTGTAAACTCAAAGGCCAGCTGAGAGGAATGAAGTGCAGAGTCACGATTACAGAAGTCTAAAGAAAGTAAACCACACCCAGTGGGAGGGGGGACCACTCTGCTCAGCTCGTGCAGTTGTGAAGTGACTACCTATCAAACAGCCCTGTTTGGGTGGAATTACAGGCGCAGTTGATTTGTCTGCGGGTGAAGGATGATCCAGAAACGTCCCTAATGCAAATCTCCCACCTCATCTCCACTGCTGACGTTAGAGCGAGGCCCCTGTGACAGCTCCCCTTCCAAGCATCACATTATCACACAGGTGCACCGGCCTTGCTGCAGGCGGCTCAACAGAAGTTATTGTGTGTGGATTGAAACGTCAGCAGCTGCTGTGCACCTGAAGAATCTGAGGCCTGTGTGAAAACAGCAGAGCCACTGTCTCCTCCTGCAGGCTTGTATTCAAGAATTTACAAACCCCTCACCTGCAGGATGTCATTGCTCTGCTGATGTACTGTTGTCGTAAGTCATCGCACACTTGTGAATAAAATCCATAAAAACAAAAGGTATCTATACATACACACACACACATCTCAGTGTGAACTCTACATTAACTGGCAGCAACACCTTGACCATTTTAGTTTTCAGTTTATCTGCAGAGTAGAATTGTTTTGTGTATAAAATGCCAGAAAATTGTTAAAATGCCTTTTATGAATATTCTACACAAGTCATTTTTTTTCTTTTCTTTTTATTAAACCACCTGTTTGTATACGGAAAATATTCTTTTTACTGTATGACAAACACCAAATTCTAACGTAGACATTTTTGCTTGAAAATTATCTACATTTTTTTTTTAGTGTTAATTGCATCTGCTCTTTGCCACGGCACTTGTATTCGTTGATGAGCAGCCTGATCAGTGTTTGACAGGCTTTAGGGTTTAAAAGCTGCAGGGAGAAACATCCACTGATATTTAATCTGAGTGTAGGCTCCATGTTTGAACACAGTCATTCTTTTACGACTTGAGCGATGTTGCTAAAGCTTTTTAACATTTTATTAGTTTAAAATGATATCCAGTACAAAATGTATACAGTAATACCCTTATGTTTGTCAGTTCCCCTGAATAAAATATTTTAATCTGTTCAGCTCATGCCAGATAACAGTATCTATAAGATACACTAGATTGTAATTTGCTCATACAATAGTTGATGACAAAGATATAGCAATAGTACCTTTGTAACAATAAAAACTATCAGCAATATTTTGGTGGACACATTTTCAATACAATAAAATTACATATATTATTCTGTAAAAGTTGCATTGCAATCTGCCCATATCTTACAAGATTTTCAAATTCAGGTATATCTTTTCAATAACTAAGAGACAAAAAGTTGTGATACAAGTCTTTATACATTTATAAAAATGATCTGGTGGCAATCTGCAGTATTGCAGTGACTCAGTCTCAGCAGGCTGTCCTCTGTGAAGCTGCTGTAACAGATATACAATGCACTTAGATTTGTTCTGCTTTTTTTTTTTTCTTCTTTTTCTTTTGGTAAAACAAGGCAACTTCTCAAACGTAATAATAAATAAACCCTCTGCAATGACACTGTACCTGTTGATAATATATCCAGTTTATATATATGTGTATGTATATATACATATATATAAACTTGTACAAAATATTTTAAAACCTCCCCCCATGTATGTACTAAAAAAACAACACAAAAGGTTAACATGTTTGATTTGTGTTCGACACAGCGTTTTGGTGGGATCGACAAAAATGTGACACAGTCTGCATGCACTGGTTTCCATGGAAACACGGCTGTGACTCTTCCAGTTTGATTGGGTGCACCTTTCTGCTCCTTGGCTACGACTAAAATTGATCAGATTGGTGTCGTCTCACGCGCTCGCTCTCAGTCTGATCATAGCATCAGTCTCATTGACTGGCGAGACTCTTTGACGCCTCCTCCAGGGTTGGGAGGGTCTTCTTGTGGGAACGTCACCTTGTCTGGTGTGTACTCGTTCCTCTTCAGATCTGATGAACAAGCAAAACAGACTGATGCTAAAACGATGTCAGAGATGCGTCTGTGTTTAAGACGTGCGTGCACAAACAGAACTTGTGATGTCACAGCTAGTTTAGAAATTAGTTTTAGAAGTGCGATGCTGCAGTTGGAAGGCTGCAGTTTACAAACACTGAGAACTACTGGACATCTGATGTTCAGCAGCTTCACATGAATAAGATTTGCATGTATTACTGAAGGATTTTTCAAGGGCAAAGAGGTTTACAAAACTTTTTTTTAAATAACCCAAACATTACATTTCAAATTTCATTTAGTTTCGGAATGATTTTGCAAAACAGCAGCTTTAAAATATCTCTCACCTGGAAGTTTCAGTTTTCGACAGCAGGAGTTGCAGTGGTGTTTTGCACGGAAGTTCCTAATAGCATCGTCCCCCAGGTTGGCAGGCCCGAATATCATATCATATGATCTGTAGGCAGAAGTCACACTAATGTCATTTAGAGCAAAACTGATAAGAGAAAAGTAGCTGGTGAGGTGTAAATTGCACTTAATGTTGAATCACAGTTAACAATAATAATAACTTAATGAAAGTTGGCTGACTTGTGTGGGACAGAGAGACAACACTTACCCCTTCTCACCGCTCTTTATGACGGATGGATCTGTCAGAATCTCCCCGACGCCTACAGACACACACACAGACACACCAACAGGTTTCATTATCAAAGACATTAAAGACACAAACATCAACACAACTCTGCTAAGTGCACATATTTGTCACATGCAGGGAACAGATGAACTTCTTCACCACGTGAACCTCAATTTACCATAAAAACAACACACTCTTTTTCCAGCTCTCACATCTTCAGGACTGATTAGTACTTTGTCCTTGTAGTGAATGAACAAGTTGTGTTGTCCTTAAATGAACTTGACTGTATTCTGAGGAATCTGTTGCAGTGTCATATGGGTCCCATCACATGCCCTGCTCAGTGTGTGCTCAGAGTTTTTTTTACCCTGCAGGTCGAGCACCAGCAGCTCTCCGCGGGTGTACTCGTAGGTCCAGTGGCTGAAGGCCAGCATGGTTTCCTCCAGGAGGTTTGTGGGGACGATCTCATCTCCGTTGTTGTTGTTGAACTTCCTGAACTCGCCAGTTATGCACTCTTCTATAGCGAACCACTGTCCGGCAGAGTGGCAGTACAGCAAAAACACCTCCAGAAACCTGAACACAGAATAAAAGACTTTGTAAAAAAGTAATTTAAAAAGGGTTTGATGTTGTTTTGTGTGGCGGGAGAGGACGCTTTAGACATTGAAAAAGGAAACTCAAATTTTGCTCTTTGTCTCTTCTATCATTTTATGATTTTATGTGATGGTGCCTCAACAACAAGGAAGTAATTCTTACTTGAGCATGTATCGCATCTAAAGTTAAACTAGCAGCAGTTGGATAATGGCAGCTGATTTGCATATTTGAAAGCAGTAAAACCAAAGGAACTGTGACACCACAGGACATATCTGGCTGATTACATATAGGAACCTGTAAAAAAAAAAAAAAGATACTGTGCAATGATAAACAAATAGTGTATTTGCTTAACAAATTCTGCTTCGTGAAGCGGTCAGTGACGCAGCAGAACGTCAACAAAGACAATCCTCTTAAAACCACTACCTTCTTGCAGTCTCCTGAGAACGGATTAGGACCAGTGGAAATCAAGACAGCAAACCACGAAAAGTAATTAAGATGATGCAGTGTTTCTCTAAAACACAGCAAAGTTAATGATCAGCAATTCAAAATATATTACATGCTGTAGGTGTAAAATGAAGCATTTAAATAACTTCACATTCCAATTCTTAGCTGGAATTTGTTCAAAAACTGATTTTGGTTCATTTGTAATTTGACATTTAAACAACTGACTGAATCTTTAAAAGCCACAATCAAAGAATGATGACAAGCTGTGAAAGACCTGTTGATCAAGAAGGCTCTAGGATGTTGTACAGCCTACTTGAAATGACTCACACAAGGACATAAAAAACAAACACAGACACGAGTGTGAAACCTGTATAAAGCTATGAGTGTGTGTTTATGGGAACTCTGTGCTCTGCAAACCTTCATGCAGGCTTACCTCGGTGAATACGGGATCGTTTTGGGCCTGATTTGGTTGAAGGCAAATGTCAGCTTCTGAGCAGCTCGTTGTTGTTGAATTTCCTGCAGCGAGGTGGGGAAACACCAGTTAAAATAGAATTCATAGTTCTGCTCTGCTGAAAGTGACTCACTCTGGTTTCAGTTTGATGACCTAGTGTGACATACGGCAGTAGTGGAGGTGTGAGGTTGCAGGAAACAGGAAACACACTGAAGAAACTTGTTAACATTTTATCTTAGGCAGCGGTTTGGAGGCCCAACGCAGCAGTGCAAGAGACATGAGACTATGTTTGTGCTTCTCACCCTGAGACAAAGGTGCAGCACAGTGTCCTCCTTGTAGATGCTCTGCCACGTTTGGACCACCTCAGGAAGGAAGGACTTGACTATATACAGGTGCCCTGGTTTCAGGATGTCATACTCTGACCAAGTACAGAGCACCTTAAGGGCCCGCCTGAGTCCTCCGCCCATCTCCTCTTTGCTGAGGAACTCTATTTTGGCACAGAGGCCCCGTTGGGCCCAGGAAGACATGCTGTTGTTGATAGTGTTGGGGGAGCTCTCCTCCAGACGGTACACAGTCACCGGCTCACCTGAAGGAACACAGAGCAGCCGGTGAGCTACAGCAACACACTGAGGATCGTCCTTTAAATACACAGTGAGTCCAACATTCACTCATGTCTGAAAGGAGGTTTGATCCACCAAACTTTTCATCAGATCTACCTGGCCTGCTTAGTATTTGACTTCCATCATTCACGTTTCCTTAAATGCAAGACATCTTTGGGATGGATTTTAACCGTGGTCAGTCGGAGACGTTCTCTAATGTGTTCTACTGAATGAGCCCATTTATATGTGTTCATCAGAATATTGGCACAGAGTTTCTCGGGAGGAGCCAGCAAGATCCAGGAGGGCTCATTGTTCCACTGTTCCTGTTGTAGCCATCAGTCGGAGTAGGTGG